AGTGGAGGAGGGGCAAACGTGCCTGCCGACGAAAAGGACGACATCGGCGGAGTGGACAGGACGATGAAGCGGTGTTCCGAAGCATTCGGTGCCCTACAGTTAAAACTGAGAGGCTGATGAGCATCACCGTAAAGCGAGGAAGCCAAAACAAGATAAAGGAGAGAGGGAGATGCAGTAGAGCGAGCTGGCCACGACGAGGTGGAGCTCGACGGCGCTGCAGACGGTGAGGAAGAAGAAGGTGGCCTCCGGCTAGCACTGGCGGAGCTAGATAGCGTGGGCGGACTTAGCGGGTTCGCAACGACTAGACAAAGCTACGCGCACAAGGAATTGGGCTGGGGTGGAGTAGGCATGATGAATTACGCCTGCGACTGGAGCTCGGCCGACGGCGAAATAGAGAGAGAAAAGGGAGGAGGCAGCGACCGGGGCGGCTTAAGTCGACGCGGACGACGGTTCCGAGCACGCCAGCAGCTGCTTCGCCATGCCACGCTGGCAGTTGCGTGCCCGCACGCGAAGAAGCGGCAAAACAGGGGCTGCTGCCAGTGGTGGCAAGCAGGCAACTTGCTGCCGGCGATGAAGCCCTATTCCATTCGTCAGACTGAACCCAGCCTGTTCCCCTCGCTTGTTCTCTTGATTTTGCATAAGAACTTCGAAAACTGTTTTAGTAAAACTTTTCATTTGATCAAAGATCTACAACTTTGCTTTAACTGTCAACATCCAAAGATCAAAGAATTTTGAGATTAGGAGTTTTGAAAACAGATACATTGAAACTGAAAAACAAGATTCAGTTAGGGTTTTGGAAACAATTTTGATTAGCAATCTTTGGCATTTAATTAGTGATCAACCATTAATCAAACATTACAACCAATTGCACAGTATCATAGCTTAAACATAGCATCAAGCAATGGAACAAGAGTTGAACAAATTTTATTTATGAAAATTCACTTGATAATTCACCAAAGTTTGAATATAAACATTGATTTCCAGGGACTTAGGCAGAAATTGACAAAGTATCAAATTCAACATTGAGTCCAATCTTTGGGTTCAATTTTAAACATATTTGACTTGTAAACATCATCAACCTTTGATTTCATATGATAGCACACACTTTGCACTACAAGGTTTATTTTAACAAAATTTTAGTTGTCTAAGCAAATTCTCATATATAAATTCACAAAGACTCTTAATTGAAATCAAGGATAGCATTTCATGCAACATATAAAACATAACATATGCAACATATGGATGCTATAATTTGAAACATAAAATGGACAAGTGACATGTTACTTGGTGATTATGCTTGATGATGCTCATGATTAAGTTTTAATATCTTTTTAACATCTGGGATGTTACTGGCACGGTAGGGTCTCACAAGAACTCCGTCGCCGCGGCTGCGCCCGCTCCCACGGCGGCCTCCTTCTCCCCCTCTCTCCGCCGCCATCATGGCCATGGGCGTCCCGCCCTGATCTGGTCCGGCCGCCTCCACCGCCTCCAGAACCCTAACGTGCCCTCCTGCCGCCCCCACCGCTTGGCCGGCATGCCTCCCCTGAGTCCCTCCTAAGCCCACCGGAGTTGGGGAAGAAGAGGGCAGATAGGCCGGAGATGGAGAAGAATAAGAGGGAGAGAAATCGAGTGTTGAAAGGAAGAGGAACATTGTAGTGTCATTTAGCATTACTCAATAATATATCTGTCATTCTCTGCAACTCGAGCTCCCACTAGTACTAGTCCGCAGATCACTTCCGGCCGTGAAAGGTAGATCGGTTTCCTGGTTTGATCGTGTTATTTTTTTTATTAAGGTTTGATCGTGTTATTGGGCAGGTATGTGATTGGTATGCTCGATCTTGCCAAGACATGCCAACGATCGAACCGGTCATTAATCAATTCGGACGGGATACTACAGTTACAACATTTGCTGCCCGGTCTCAAGTTTAACATTTATCAATGTTCCGGCAGTATCAAAGCGGTAAGAAAATACGTCTTCGGTTGGAATCTAGGCCTTGCAAAGGGGAGCTAAAGAAACACTCAAATGCATGGTTGGCATTCGCCGTGAAGGCACCAAGTCCATGGGGGCAATTCTTGCTAGCTAGGCGACGTGAAAATAAAAAACAAACTAGTGGTATCTGTTCCATCTTGTACGCAGCAGCCTGATCCCTCCACGAGTACAGGGCATCCTTCAGAACCTTAAGCGTAAAGTGAAGCAAGAATCATGGTGTCGCCTGTCGCGAGATGTCTAAACAGTGAAACATGCTTGATTGCACGAACCTCACAGTTCATGCACAAGCACAACGAACAAGTTTTTTTTTTTTTTTTTGAGAATAGCACAAAGAACAAGTTGCCCCAAGCGTCAATTGCCTTTCAGCGAGGAAATGCTATACTTGTACTTACCAACCATGCTAAGCACACGTCCACAAGAGAATATGTACCTCAAGGCCCAAAAGGAAAATAATAATGGATCCACACCAAATGCGGGCCCAAAAAAATGTCTGCCGCCTCATATAAAAAGGATAGTCAATTCTCAAAAAAACATCTAAAAAAGATAGTCCGGCCCCCTAAAACAAGCTCACTAGTAAACCGTCACCGAAAATTTTAATGCATCATAGGTTAGATAGAGCATCTCAAGAATCTCTTTAAATCTAATTCCCATATATATTCTCATATAATGCCATCTTAACAAAAAAAATCCACCCTAAATGTTTCTCTCTCCCAACAGTTTTCCCATCACCCCAAATTTTAAATTGATTCAAAAATATTGCTTCTTTCAATTATATATATCTCACATGCATAAAAACAAAACAAACGTGCATGAATAATTGAGAAAAACTTATAAGATTGATCCAAAGGTTCTGAAAGAGGACGTGCTTGGTACTCCATCTGTTCCAAATTATAAGTTGCTTTGACTTTTTTGGTCCATCCATTTTGCTATGTATCTAGACATATTATTATATTTAGATGCATAGCAAAATGGATGTACCAAAAAAATCAAAGTGACTTATAATTTAGAATGGAGGGAGTATATAACACCTAGGAAATCTATCTGGCCCACATAACAATCACATGCATCCAAATGTTGTTGTCTATCATCAGATCTTAGTGCCTCTGATCTAGATAGCTTTCTCAAGACTTCAATCAAACAGGTCCTAATAAGTGCACAAAAATATGGATGTGGAAGACGACACCAACCCAATATACGCCATGCTCCACTATATGTATAGATCCTATTTTGGCATTGCATGTGTCTAGCACTTATGTTGATTGCCTCATTAGGTTTCAAACGAGCCGGTGTCTCAAACGTCATGGAATCAACTAGTCATGCGTTTAACACAAAATAGAGCACAAAATAATAATGTAAATAAGTAATTGCACAATTATGAGCAATAAAACACCAGAAACATGAACAAAGAAAATGTAAAATCTAAATAGAGCATCAATAGATAGATAATATTATTAGAAAAATAAATTGGTACTCCCTCCGTCCAAAAAAAACTTGTCAAACTATCTAAAGTTTGACTAAATTTACATCATCATCATAACAACAACAACAACAACAACAACAACAACAACAACAACAACAACAACAACAACAACAACAACAACAACAACAACAACAACAACAACAACAACAACAACAACAACAACAACAACAACAACAACAACAATAATAATAATAATAATAATAATAATAATAATAATAATAATAATAATAATAACAACAACAACAACAACAACAATAATAATAATAATAACAATAATAATAATAATATCATCATATTATTATTATTAGATTATTCATGGAGCATATTTTTATAGCATACCTATTTTGTATCATAAATGCTAATAATTTTCTCTATAAATTTAGTCAACCTTTAGAAAGTTTTACTTAAGATAAAACTAAAATATTAAGTTTTTGGGACAGAGGGAGTACTATTTTCACTTTTTTCTTTACAACAAGTTAATATAAATTTTTAAAAATTAAACCAGATTTTTATTATTTTTTAGAAAATAAAAAGGCGCGACGTCGCTGGCAAAGATGGAGGACATGACAAGGATGCCTGTGATTGACGCGAAAGCGAGATGTATACCACACCAGGTTCAGCTTCTCTGGGCCGGTTGCTAGTCCGTTACCAGGCCGAGCCTTGTACCATCTCCCAGCACATATAGAAGGAGGAATGTGCTCAAATGGCAACACGGGCTGCCAATTAAGTCTACTAAGTACAGTCTAATGTATAGCCCAATGCAAGATAGGTCAAGGCCGTGTTTGGATCTTATTTTGGATTCTAGATAAGAAATGAGGGGTATCAGATCTCATTCTTATAGTAATTATTGTTTTGCATAATGAAAATCTCCAAATAGTAGGTTTATGGTACATAGTTGGATTCTAGAATATAAGCCCTGTTTAGGGGAGCGGTTGCTCAACTCCTGAGCGAGATAAGCAAATAATCCTGCCCAAACGCCCATGGATAGGGGCTGGTCACAAACGCGCATCCGTGACTCCCGGCCGCCCGCAACGTTGCTCGAATCACGAGCCTGGCTCCGGAATTTGGAAAATGCAAACGTGTTTTGTCTCCCAGCTGCTCCCTCCTGACCCGAGCGCTTGGACTCCCTCCTATGCGCTCCTATCCCTGACGCCGACTATCCCCTCCCCACTGACGCCTACCTCTCCGCCGCCGCTTCCCATCTTCCCCTTCGGGCCATCCGTCGCCTCCTCTGGACAGATCCGCTAGCGGCTTGTCTCCCCTCCCCTCCCCTCCATTGGATTGAAGGAAGGGTACTGATGTCCCTCCCCACCCCTGCGCCGGCTCACCTCCCCACCCCTCGCCTCCCCTCCGTCGGATCTCAAGGAAGGGCGCCGGTGGCCCTCTGATCCCCTCCCCTCCACCAGATCTCTAGCAAGGGCACCGACTCCCCTCCCCTCCCCTCGTCGAAGCTCCAGCAAGGGCGCCGGCTTCCCTCCCCTCCACCAGATCTCCAGCAATGGCTCCGGATCTCCGACCTCGACGTCCTCGATGGCCTCCACCAAGCTGCCCACTGCCTGCTGCCCTCCCATCCCCACCGTCGGCTGCCCTCTAGCAAGGTGAACACGCAAGCTCTTCTGGTAGATGTAGAGCACCTACATGTCCATTTGATGTCTTTTTTTATACATAGCGCAAGTAGGCAGTAATGTTGGTAGAAATTCAAATTTGTTGCACTTTATAGATGAAAAAAACCAGGAAAGCCTCAAGCAAAATGGGATCCTTTTGTCGCCAAAGTTTTCAATGAAATATGCGTAGAAGAAGTGCTTGCCCATAACAGGCCATACAATTGCTTGAATAGTGTGGGTTATGCTAATTTGGTGAAGAAGTTCTTTGAGCGAACAAAGAGGCCATATGACAAAGAGCAAATGAAGAACAGATGGGATGCACTAAAGAAGAAATATACAAAGTGGAAGACCTTGAACATGAGAGCCACTGGTTTGGGAAGGGATCCTGTTACCGGATGTATTTCTGCCAGTGATGCATGGTGGGCAGAGCAAAATGCGGTGAGTAGTCATCATTTTGTATTTCAGTACTTGAGATGACACCTTCTAATTATTCGCATTTAATGTTTCAGGCTATGCCATGCTATATAACTTTCAAAAGTGCATTTCTTGAGCACGAGGATATGATGCGGATAATGTTTCATGCTATTAGTGTGACTACTGACACCTCATATGTTCCTGGAAGTGGTCATGATGATGGAGAGGGTGAGGAGCATGAGGGCGGTCATGGTGATGATGGCAGTGAGAGAGTCGAAGGGAGTGGTTCACCATAGGTCACACAAAATGCTAATAAGAGGCTAGCACAAGGTTCCCCCTCTGGAAAGAAAAAAACAAGACATATAGAGATCAACTTATGAAGAGGTTGGTCGACACATATGAGAAGAAGGCTCAAAGCAGTAAAAAATTCAGCAACTTCTCATGCGGTTGATCATGTTAGAGACGAGATTTGGGCTATGTTGGAGCAAGTCATTAGCGATGGAGCTGAAGAAAGGAGTGACGAACACTACTATGCTACCCAACTTCTTAAGAAAAAGGAAAATTGTGATGTGTTCATTACTTTGAAGACACCTAATGGGAGGCTTAATTGGTTGAGGAGGGCATGGGAGGACCGGAACAATTAGTGTTATTATGTAGTTAAATAATTGTTGAGTTCCATACATTATTATTTGATATTTTATGTAATGGACACATTATTTGATGTTTTATGTTATGACTTTGCTTGTGCAAATAATTATTTGGTGCATATGTTGCCTTTGTTTCTTTGCTCATGCTTCATAATGTGTACTTATTTTAGGTGTTGAAATCAAGATGAGTACCTCCAATGTTGGAAATCAGGATGAGTCAGGTAGTGATGAGGATTTCATGGTTGCATATATTGCATTGGAATTGATGGGCTCAAGTACTAGATCCGCTCATGACACTTGAATATTTTTTGATACTTTAGTCACCTACAAAGATAAATTTTCATATCCACCTGAAGGCAAGTACTACCTTGTTGATTCCAGGTATCCTAATAGAAAAGGATATCTAGCACCTTACAACCTTACAAGGGACAAAAGGTATGATGTGCCCGAATGGCAACACGGTCGGCATCCAAGGGATAGAAGGAGGTGTTCAACTATGCTTATGCATCCCTCCGAAATGTGATTGAGCGGTCATTTGGAGTTCTCAAGATGAAGTGGCGCATTCTCTTGCAGTTACCTAGCTATCCAATTGAGAAGCAATCAATGATTATCGTTGATTGCATGGCTCTCCATAATTTCATTAGAGACAATGCCATAAACGATGAACATTTTGAAACCTTTGTGGAAGATATTCGTGGTGTTGGGTCCCAAGTTGCTATAGCTGATGGTACTGTTTTCGGCGGATGATACGGATATGGGTGCTTTCCGTGATGATATTGCTTCTCCTTTGGTTGGGTGATTCATTGTTAGGAACTTGAGTATTTTGTAGCAATTACATTAATCAAATGGGCATTATTTTGGACTATTATTGTACAATGGATCTTAATAGAACCATATTTCTATCTCAAACTTTACAAATATTGTCATCATTGCTTTCATATCATTGTAATGAACCAAAAGAGGTATCATCAGCCTCAGAGGTATATAGGTCATTTTACATTCAGGATAGACAATCTACCAGAAATAATCAGGACAGCCAAACGTCCATCCTATTCAGACAACAAATTCTCCAGATCGTGACTTATCAGATAAGCCTGCTCAGCTTATAAGCGAGGCTCGGAAACACTGAACCAAACAGGGCCTAAGTGTGTGGATATTATTCTCATTTTTCTATCTTGTTCTTATTTTGTTTAGAAGATCCAAACAGGGCCTAAATTTGTTGATTTCAATACAGTTGGATATAGTCGAGCACTGAAAATGAGAAGTGCTACAAGTGTAAGGTCGATCGGTTCTACTAGAGTTCTGGGTGCTTATGCATGCGATCTTCTCTAGGCTCTCATGGCCATCCCTAAAACACGCCATGCTCGTCGACTGGCCCCTCCCTCTCCGTTCGTGTGTCTTCGTGCACAGCTCATGCATGCCACAATTCTATCTATGCCAAGAGCAGGCAAGGGCATTCCTCACCCACGGCCGCGGGCGAATTGAATGGCGTGACGCGAACCCAACTTATTACGTACGTGACGACCAATGCAGCTCGATAGATTATTCATGGCCGCCTCCGTGGTCCTCGCCGTCGTTGTTTCCCTCGCCGCCGTCCTCCCTATCGCTCGCGCAGAGATCAAGACGACGCCCATTGTCTCCGACTCGCGCTCCGTCATCCTGTTCGAGGAGTTCGGCTTCAGGCACGGCGGCCACGCCACTGTCTCAACCACCGGCATCTCATGGAGGGTCCCCGAGGGTTCCCAGCTGCAGGCCGTGGACACGACACTCATGGGCTTCTTCCTCATCTCCAATTCCCTCTTCTACAAGATCAACAATGAGTCCGACTACGCCGAGGCCACCGGCGGCGCCTTCTGCCCGCTCACGAGCAAGTACGTGCAGCGGCTCTTCCTGTTCAAGGAGGTGGCGCCCGACGGCACGGGGCGGGGCTCCCTGACCATCGACTCCGACGACCAGTACACGGTGCTGTTCAGCAGCTGCCAGGAGGGCGTGGAGGTCACCATGGAGGTGCGCACCGAGATGTACAACCTGCGGCGCTCTGGCGCCCGAGAGTACCTCCCCGTCGGCCTGCTGCCGCTGCCGTGGATCTTCGCGGCCGCGGCCGCGGTGCACTTCGCGTTCCTGGGCACCTGGGTGCTGGTCTGCGTCAAGCACCGCAGGACCGCGGAGCGCATCCACGCCGTGATGGGCGCGCTGCTGCTGTTCAAGGCGCTCAAGCTCGCGTGCGCCGCCGAGGACCAGTGGTACGTGGAGCGCACCGGCACGGCGCACGGGTGGGACGTCGCCTTCTACGTGTTCGGCTTCTTCAAGGGCATCCTACTCTTCACCGTCATCGTGCTCATCGGCACCGGCTGGTCCTTCTTGAAACCTTACCTCCAGGTGCATGAGCATGCATGCGTCGTCGTCGTCTGATCCTCCGTCCGATCGATCCGTGCTGCATCTAGCTGCATGCAACGACCAAAAAACGATAGATCATACGTGCGTGCGTGCAGGAGCGCGAGAAGAACGTGCTGATGATCATCATACCACTGCAAGTGATCGAGAACATCGCGTCGGCGGTGATCGGGGAGACGGGGCCGGCGGGGAGGGACTGGCTGGCGTGGAACCAGATCTTCCTCCTGGTGGACGTCATCTGCTGCTGCGCGGTCTTCTTCCCCATCATCTGGTCCATCCGCAACCTGCGGGAGGCGTCCAAGACCGACGGCAAGGCGGCGCGGAACCTCCAGAAGCTCACGCTCTTCAAGCAGTTCTACCTGGTGGTGGTGTGCTACCTTTACTTCACGCGGATCGCCGCGTCGGCCGTCGCCGCCGTGCTCAGCTACAAGTACCAGTGGGCCGTCAATGTCTCCATCGAGACGGCCAGCCTGGCCTTCTATGTGTTCGTGTTCTACAACTTCCAGCCCGTGGAGAAGAATCCCTACCTGTACGTCGGTGACGATGAAGAGGAAGCCGCGGGTGGGCAGCTTGAGATGGAGAGCACCTTTGAGATCTGATGAGATATGTAGCATGTACGTGATCAATGTCTTATCTCTCCAAGTTTTGTATAGTTCTATATATATACAGTACTACGAACAACCTGGTATTATTTTGATACTTTTCCAGTTGCCTAAAATGTACTAATCTTTTCAGTCATATATAAGATTAATTAATTAGGAATTAGTAAGTTCTGGAGCCTGGTCTGTTTATTTGTCTTTGGCGTTCTTTTCTTAGAATGATCCAAGCTTATACTACTTTCACCCCTAATTTCGATACCGCACAACATATTAGACTGACTTCTTGAGCCAAATTCTACCTTCAACACATCTGCACAACAACCGCCTTAAAAAAAAAAGCGTCGAGCAGATTCAATGACACTTTCACCCATACACGTGCCTAGATAGAAAATCATCATAGGTCACATAATTAGGTTCCTCGTAGTGCAACATATCCACCTGGGTTTAACTCCTTTGTTTGGTACGGGTGCTCATATTATTCTAGATTTAGGTCTTGTTCGTTTATCTTATAGTCCGTACTTTTCAGCTTGTTTTTTCAGTCGGAACAGTATTTTTCTCCCACAACAAATCAGCCAGAATAGTGTTTCAGCTTGTTTTTTCAGCGAAACGAATGGGCCTTATTCTAATATTTAACAGTTTTGTGCTTTCAGTGGTAGGCAATATTTCTGTCAACAACGAAATATATCTGGTGACTTCGTCAATCTTAGGCTTTGCTAGTGCAGTCTTTCAGAGGTACTCGTAGGAGTAAGGTTTACTTGCGTGCGCTCATAGGATGTGATTGTGCTTACATTCGTCAATCTTGATATCTGCCAGCGCAATCTTTCGGAGGTGCTCGTAGAGATAAAGTGCATTATGATGTAATAATTAAAAAAAATCCTATACAGCAAATCTAAATCCAAATTGGACACGGCGAAAACAGAGTCCACCGCGCTCACGGGCACCTAGCGACAGAGTCCATGATGTGCACGAACCGGCCGGGCGGCGGCGTCCGATCCTTTTCCTTTTATATGTAGGACGTAGCAGAGGCTACGAGGACAAGCGCGCATAAGCATAGCTCCCATCTGAAACCACGTGTGACGTGGTAGTCTCTTTTATCCTCCCTCAGTAGTCAGCACCTTGACGCCGGCCGCCGCCAGTGCTCCGCTCTTGTCCTCTCTAGTTCTCTACCATGGGTCAACAAGAAAAACCCAGGGACGACGAGGAAACGGTCGCGATGCTGGTTTGCGCCGCCGTGGCCATGCTCATGGTTGCCGGCTTTGTTTGGCTCATGGTGCATATCGCGCGTTTACCTCCCTTGAGGCACCCAGATTACATGGTGTCCATCACCGGCGTCGACGGCCTGAACCTGGGGGCGACGAGCGGCGGCGTGCCGACGACGCTGTCGCCAGTGTTCAACCTCACGGTCCGCATCGACAACCCCGGCAACGTCAACCCGTGGGACAGCGCGTGCGTCTGGGGGCTATCCACATTTGTGGTGTCGTACGGGGACGCGTTCCTCGGCAGGGGCTCCGTGCCGCCGTTCTGCGCCGAGGAGAACGAGGTGCAGGAGCGCATGGCCACCGCGTGGGGAGAGGACGTGGTGCTGCCGCGGTTCCTGCGGGAACGCCTGAGCGGCGAGCTGGAGCGGGGCGAGGCGTCGCTGGACGTCCAGGTGACCATGCCGGCGGGCTGTTCCCAGTGCACCGATAAGGTGCTTGTTTGCAACAATGTCAAGATCGGAGGGAGTTCTCCGTCTCCGTGCCGCATGGAGGAAGTCTATCCACGGCCCCGGCCAGGGCCAGCCGCCGCAGAATCCACCAGTAGTTAAACATATATATAGTATATATATACTTTTCAATTTGTGATGCAATTGTTTACCTAAATTCGTAGTATTTATATATATTGTACTTTGTACTTTCTAATATTAAAAAGCCAAAAATTCTCTCCACGCTCACTGTTTACCTAGACAGTACGACTTGTCTTCGATTTGTGGTGCCAGCAAGTATCTGCCGTTCTGAACTGTTACCTAATTCTTTCTTATCTATCTATGAGCTGCCTAACGTTACAAATTACTTAGTTCAACCTGTGCTGTCAGCTAGTAAGCAATTTCTAGTATAATAGCCTGTTTGAATCTATTAGCACTAAAAATTAGCAACTAAAATTAGTACTAATGGATCCAAACAAACCTGCTAATTATTTGTTGGAGGGCTGTTGACTATTAGTTCCATTAGCAGGTTTGAAGTTGCTAATATATAGGTGCTAATAGTTCATATACACCTTTAATTCATTATCTAATCATCTATTAGCATGTGGTTCCAAAAAGCCCCCTGCTAAAAATTAGCTAGCTAAAAAATTAGCAGCTAAGTGTTAGGTATTAGCTAGCTAATTTTTAGTGCCAATTGATCCAAACATACCCGGCTTTGATATTAGGGATTTTTTTGAAAGATTGATTTATAATAAGAAAAGAGACATCAGGGATATAATGGTATTTTAGCAGGTGATTAAATTCTCTAGTTTTAATCAGTTGAGGCATAGCAGCCATTGGATGGGGATCCAATGCACATAAATCTTCTTGATGTTGTTCATCTTCAACCCTCAGAGTCTCAGACAGAGAACTTCGCTACCTTCCTCTCTCACCTTGACGTAGTGACGTGCCTACCTCCCTTCTCACGTCTCCAGTGCAGGATCACTAAGTAGGCTCATGTTCATCACATATTTTCATAAAGCCATATATGTTCCACATATTTTCAGAATATCATATATGTTCCTTAGTTTTTCTTTTTTTTGAGCATTATATATGTTCCTTAGTTTAGCATTGCAATAGGTTCAATTGTCAGCTAGTTTCAGCCCTGCTCAGGTGACGGTTAAAATAAATAAGAGAAATATAGTTGCCAAGCATTAGACAACTCGTACTATCAGATAATTAGACAACTTGCAAGCAATGTTAAACCTCCTGGATTCAAGGATTTGCCGTCCTCGTTTTCCCTTAATTGTCTTTGAGCATGTTAGATTTTTTTACAAGAATTGATCAAATTCAAAGGAGATTCACAAGAGATTAGAAATTGCAATCTTTATTAATATATAAATTAATCCTACTTTGAGATTTTTTTTACTTTTACGACTTAGGTCCAAACCGCCTTCATCCGGGAGTTAGCATACGGTTGGTATTAGTAGTTTTAGAACTGGAAGTGACACTGGTTTCTGAAGAAGAAGAAGAAGAAGAAGAAGAAGATCTTACATTGTTTTGATGCGAATATACACATGCATGCAGCCGGACTTTCCATCGAGGGCGCGACACCAAGCAACCCTTTATCTTCAAACCAATCCAACTGAATTCACATATCCAAACAGACTTTATACAAACCAATTCAGATCCAAACGCTAGTGACAATGTTACTGTATTTACGTAGATCAAACAAACACACTGTCTCAATTTGCAGACAAGTGAATAATAAAAAAATTCACACACCGATGGCAATTCCACATCCCCTACTGTTATTTTATTTGTCATTAAATCTGAAGCAACGAATCAAATTAGGAGACGGAGTGGAGCGATGTAGATTTGGTTGTAATCGTGAACTAAGCGAGCTGCAGCTCGAGACGGCAGGCTTCGGCTTGAGAACCTGGATTACCTCTATTTTCACCGTTATAATAATTTAGTTACCAGATAGTTATTCCGTGCGTATTAGTTGCAACCATGGTTGTATGCTGACCCGGCCCATCTCAATCAGGCGGCAGCGTTGCTGCGTCGGAGTGTCGGACACGTTTGGGGTACGCGATCCTGTACGGTCACGCACAGGTCGATTTCTAGCCCGTGTCGGTGAAGGGCACACGAGCGGGACGGGCAACGCGATCCCTCATATATCCAGCAGCAAGCAGTAGCCATGGAGTCCCCAACACAACAATTCTGGAGATGGCCGCTACGCCGTCGTTTGTCCCCCCTCAAGACATGTCAGCAGCAGCCAGCGTCGTCGAGAGCGGAACCCCGTCCACCGAAAAATATGCGGGCTGGTTTGTCTGCTTTCTGTCGCCGCGGTCGTGGTAAGACTGACTCCAACCAAGAGGACTCAAATACAACATCTTTGGGTCATGCACGGTGAAAGCGTGGCCACCCAAAATTTATCCGTCTCCAACAGCGCGTGGGGAAGCCGGGCGTGGACGAGGCCGCCGCTGCCGGAGGGGATGGCGGCCACGAGCGCAAGCGCGAGGCCGGGCGTGGACGAAGCTGCCGCTGCCGGAGGGGATAGGCGGCCGCGAGCGCGAGCGCGAGGCCGGGCGTGGACGCTGCCGCCGCTGCCGCTGCCGGAGGGGATGGCGGGCGCGAGCTCCGCCGAGCGGGGCTCTGCCGGCCGCAAGCGCGAGCGCGGGCTCCGCCGGGCGCGGCCGCAAGCGCGAGCACGAGCTCCGCCGGGCGCGGACGCGAGCGCGAGCGTGAGCTCTGCCGGGCGCGGGTGCGAGCTCCGCCGGCCTCGGACCATCACTTCGCCTGCTTGCCCGTCGTCCGGCCATAGCAACGCCATTCATGGCGAGCCGGTAGCCGGTGGCACAGCTCCCGCTTCGCCGGCCTATAAAAGGCGACGCCCACAGCCTCTTTCGTGACGCCGTCACGCGCCACCGTTGTCTTCTTCTTCAGTTCACAAATCCTCTCTCTCAGCTTCTCTCTCCCGAGGTGAAGTTCGCGGAGTCGATCTCCTCCTTGAAGCAGCAATAGACCGAGGTGGGTAGCCTCCATGCATCCCCTACCTCTCCTCTTCCTTCCCATACTCTTGGATTCAAGATTGGTGGCTGAAATCGCCGTCCCGGTGGAGCTCAGGCAGCGTCCATGGCGGACGAGCAAGAGGACGCACGAGCATGCGCTCTCTCAGTAGCACGCCTGGGTGGAGACGCAAAACGACGAAGAGAGGACGTAGGTTTGCGTCGCGCGTCGGTAGCAACCTAAAATGCGTCGCTCATTTGGGTACTCCGTTAGAGGTTGTTTTTGCCGGTAAAAGCACCGTGAACAACCCATTTTTGGGTTTGGGTGACGCCGTCAGTCAACCGGCTGCGTTCTCCTGGGTGTTTTCCTCAGTCGTGAGTTCCCAACGGGGGACCCCGTGTTCTCGGTGGCCATCACGGGCGTCGCGGGCCTGGACCCGGCGCGGGACCTCTCGGCGGCGGGCGACACGCTCTCCCCGGCGTTCAACCTCACGCTCCACATCGACAACACGCGCAACTCCCAGTACCGCGCGTGCGTCCCGGAGCTCTCGACCGCGGCGGTGTCGTACGGGGACGCGGTCCTGGCCAACGGCACCGTGCCGCCCCTGTGCGGCAAGGAGAAGCGCGAGAGCGAGCGCGTGGCGGCCAGGGCGTGGGGCGACGCCGTGGCGGTGCCGCGGTTCCTGCGGGACCAGATGGCCGGCGAGCTGGCCGTGGGGGAGGCGTCGGTGGACGTCAAGGTGACCATGCCGAGGTACTCTGCACTGGGGACGCGCGGCGACGCGGTGCTCTCCTGCAAGGCCAAGATCGGAGTCGGAGCGGCGCCGTCGCTGCCCTGTCGGCTGGATTACGTCAAAAAAAGCGACGACGACCAGAGGAAGAGGGAGGAGGAGTATCCACCACCGGTTATATTCATGTGGCCAACCATTTATATGTATACATGAATAGTTTACCTTGTACATACACTTTTTTTTTTTTTTTGCGAGGATGTACATACACTACATAAATATAAAGAGGTTCAGGCCTTGTTTAGTTCCGCGAAATTTGGGAACTTAGCTACTGTAGCACTTTCGTTTTTTTACAATTAGTGTTCAATCATGGACTAATTAGGCTCAAAACGTTCGTCTCGCGATTTCCCACCAAACTGTGTAATTAGTTTTTTTTTCATCTACATTTAATGCTCTATGCACATATCGTAAGATTCGATGCGATGACTACTGTAACACTTTTTGGAAAAACTTTTTAAAACTAAACAAGGCCTCAATACTTGTTCCTTGGGAGTGAATGCATAGATATAGGTATTATATGTACAAACTACAAAGATTAGTGTGTACGGAGGTTGGAACGCCTTCATGCTAAGCAACGGGTTGGGATTTTCGGCTCCCGCCTCACATATGCAAGAATCGGATGTTCCGGTACACACTGGATTTGCGCTGGACATGGGCTGGGTTCGGACTAACCGGGCCTAGACGTTACCTAGGTAGAAAATAATTAAGAATAAAAAAAATTGACTTCGTAGCATCAAAAATCACGAGATTCTAAAAATACCATTCAAATATTAAAGCCACGTGAAATACGACCGAAAGAATCATCTACAAGTTGTTCGCTTGCTCGTAAACGATCATAAATTTCCAACCGAGAACAGTTTTTTTCTCTCACACCAAATCCGTCAGCAGTAAATAATCCACGATACGATGCGGCCTCCCGAACATGCTGCTAACAGGCTGCTGTTATCCGAAACTACCGTTCTATCACAATTTGATCTAACGACGTAAGTCCACCGTTGCTTCTCCCTTCTTTCCACGTGCGCACCGGTTGCTTCTCCCTTCTTTCCAAGTCCCATCCCCTTCGTCTTTCTCAGCTCCGGAGGTGGATCCACTGTAGGATGGAGTCCTAGCGGATCAGCACAGCCAGGCTGGGGGAGAGCTTCAATGTCTTGTAGCTTAGGCGGTAGAGCTGACGTGCCTTGGCTATGGACTCGCTGCGGCCCTCATCGGCGGGCACACACGCCTCTTCGCGCGCCCGGCATCAAGGCCACGGACACTGCGATGTCCTCCTGGCCGTACCCGGGGTGGCAAGCCGACGCCGTACGTAGCAGTCCGTGCTCCGCCGCCAAGTTCTACGCCAACGAAGAACTCGATGGGAAGGATCTCATCCTTCTCAGTAGTACTAGTACACATGCATCTAGGCACATCTAGCTCTTTTCTTGCATACATGGAACTATGGAAGGTAGCTAGCTGATCTGACCCACGAGGCCACGAGCGGACACGACTTTTGCAGCTGCACACATGGTCGGGCCGGCCGCGTGCTTCTTAGCCTTCTTCCTCCAGGAAGAACTCTACAACTTCCTGCGGCACCGTGCGAGCTCTGCAGAGGCGGCGGCGGCACGCGCGCAAACTCGACCAGCCGGGAGGCGACGGTGGCGCACGCGCAAACTCTGCCAGGGAGGCGGCGGGGAACCGGTGCTCGGGTGTGCGGCGTTTTTTCTCCTTTCTTCAGGATTTTTCTCCAAACCAACTCCAATCCAAATCAAACTTTAATCCAAATCGAGTACAATTAGACAATAGACTGAACCATATAATCAGTCAAACACAGATTGAGTTAAATCAGACGCCCCATGAGCAAAATCGACGAATTTTCCCTCGCTCTCGCTCGCGAAATAAGGAAAAGAAAAATCAAAGAACACGGACTAGCAATATCGAATCTGCATGGAAAATCAAGAAAAAAAAAGCGTGACCCAGGATCTTTCAAGCTTCGGGAGAGACACCATGCAAGGAAAGTGCGGCCGGCCAACTGCAACGACGACGCACTGCCATATTTACTGGTGCTGTCGACCTCCGTACTCGGCGCAAATCCTCGTCGGTGTCGTGGGCTCATCGCAGAGGCAGAACAAAGTAGAATGTGGAAGGAGGGGCTCGATTTGGTTCGGAAGAGAGAGATCGAGATAGGGCTACTTGAGCTCCTCGCATTGGAAGAGAGGAAGAGGGGATTTTTTCTTCACGGGGATGAAACGAAGTGACGAGAGGTACAGACAGTGATATTTTATTTCAACGTGGGCCCCAAGCGTTGATAGCTTTGATGCCCTGATTTTTTACCCATTGCAACTTGTGGAGACTGAGGGGTCGTTTGGCATGGCTCCGCCAGTGGCTCCGGCTCCGGCTTCGGCTCGTGCTGAAGCCCTGCCAAATGCACACCCGAAGAATAGCTCCGCCGACAAAGCCGCAAAGGAGCCGGAGCCCTTTTTCTACTGCGCCAACGGAACCATGAAAACGAGCTTCTCCGGGCTCCTCCTTCGTCAGGGCGCGAAAGGACGCGGTGGTCCTCCGCTGGTTCGAGCGTCGGTCACAGCGAGGCCGGCCAGTTTTGGTGCATGCGCATGTTGTGCCTGCTGTGCGTGTAGTAAAGAAAGAGGAGCTGCTAGCAAGAATAGGAGAAAAGCTAGGGTTCCTAATGTAAAACTACAAGAGAGAAAGAAAATAAAGAATGGCTCCAATAATTTAGAAATAGACTAGGGTTCCCAATAAGAAAGCAACTGTTAGCTTTCTCCTGAAGTTGACCAAATCACCTGATACTTGTAAAATACGTAATAAATCACATAAATATCAAAAAATAGTAAAACTAATTTTTCTACGTTGGATTTAACTAGATCTGCACCATAGTAAAACAATAGGTAGGGGTATTATAGACATTTACCATCTTTTATCCATTAAAAAAAATAGGAGAAGCTGTTTTGCTAAACGTTTTTCAGAACGGCTTCAGCTCTTTCAGAGGAGCCACTTCTTCCAGAGCCGGAGCTATTTTTAGAGGAGCCGGAGCCCTACCAAATAGACCCTGAAGATCGATGCCACAGATTTTAACTGTTGGCTTCACTTTTTATTTAACCTTAACTCCACGTATTGTGGAGGGCCTAATTTGTGTGTGTGTGCGCGCGCGCGGCTTAGTCATATGATTAGGTGTTTGTTTATGGATTGAACGGCAAGAGAAATGATCCACTAGCGTTGCACTGATTGGTTGGACTCGTGCCTGAAGATCCGTTCACGAATTCACGATGTGTGTATAAAAGGTGAGGGGTGCATTCGTCAACATCAAATGAGTACTACTACCAGGTAACCATGGGCTATGGCTTCGTTAAAAGATACTCCCTAAAAATATAATTCTAGCACATTATCTTATTTCAGTATAATCAATTTGATCAATTATATATACAAAACTAAAAAAAGATAATATAAAATAAGTATCATTAGATTTTTCATGAGATATATTTATTTGCTATCAAAAATATTAATATTTTTTGCTTATATATTTCATCAAACTTTAGACAAGAAAACCAAACATGCATCTATAAATCATTTTTAGGACAGAGGTAGCATAAGCGCAAAGCTTCTTGATTGAGCTATTATAGTAGCAATTACTTTTAAAATGTATATGTGTGCGTGCACGCTAAATTATTCAAATTTATTGCCCTACTTCTCTAAACTAGTAGTTATTTATTTCAATCAAATGTTACAATTATAGTCTTTATTTAAATGAATGTATGAAACTTTTATTAGTTTTTTAAATCCTAATGCAACGCACGGATTTTTTTTGGTAGTAAACACTTAATCATGGAAAGTATCGTTCTTGCCTGAAGTTGTCCATGCAGGGGCAGCAGATCTACCAAATAGCACCGCAGCAGATCGTGCACCTACATATACATGCGAACGAATCGAACCACGGTAGACGGCACAACAAACAGGGATCAGGACGTGCCATCGTCTCGTCTAGTCGTCCTTCGATCTCCGCCATGTCTGCGACCCATCGGGGGCACGTAATCCAAGTCCCCGACACGCCTGCCTCCGAAGGGGAAATAACCGGTGGTGTCCCGGATGACCCGGCGGAGGAACCGTCCATAGGATGCTGCCGCACGGCGACGGTGCTCGTCGTGGGCGCTCTGGTCGTCGTCGCAGTCTTCGTCCTCTTCATAACGCTTGCAGTACTAGACGGACCTCCCTCTGCTTACTCGGCGGCCATCACGCCGGCGCCGCGTCCAGCAAGGCGTCGCCGTTCAACCTCACCGTCCACATCAAGAACCCAAGCAGGCTGTCCTCGTACTGCGTCTCGAGCGGCACGACGGCCGCCGTGTCGTACGACGACGGTGCCACCATCGGCGCGGGCATCTTGCCGATGTTCTGCGCCGGCAAGAGAGACGAGAACGAGGTCGTCGTGCCCGTGTGGGGCGCGGACGTGACGCTGCCCTTGGCCCTGCAGAGACGTGGGGCCGTGGTGGACGTGGTGATCCAGATGCCGCGTGGGAACGGCCCGCATTTGCTTGCTTGCAGTGTCAGGGTAGGACACGGTCTGTCACCGTGCACATCGGATGATTGATCGGCACGGGACTCTCTGGTCTCTAATAACTTTAACTTGTTAAAGCTGTCCCGTGCAGACTAGCTAGGGATACATGTTAGTTTCGTGGGTGTACCTTTGTGTAATCGTAGATCGGAGTATATATCTTTAGGGTTCATTTATTTCGCCCTGGTTGCGGTGTAACCTCGTGAAATGTTAGTTGATCTCTACCGTGGGCCCTTGTCTCTGCTCTCTGATCAGGGGAGCCCAACCCTAATACGATTGGTGGACCCCTGTCGCACAACACATATAAAAGGTAAGGTGGGGATCAGGGCTCGCTCTGCGAGGTTCAACGGAGCCACCGTACCCACCTACAGAGAAAACCTAAACCGATATAAAGCAGTGCTGCCAGCGACGGAAAGCTCCACCACACCACTGCCTCGCCTCTGCAGCCCACGGGATAACCACTGGACCTCTCCACCGAGCCGGAGCTGCCTCGACACCGGCGTCCGCGAGGTTGCAGCGCAACCAGGGCGAAAATAGATGAACCCTAAAGAGGTATACTCCGATCTACGGTTACACAAAGGTACACCCACGAAACTAACATTGGTATCAGAGTCAG